AAAAAAAAAAAAAAAAAAAAAAAAAAAGAAGAAAAGAAAAGAATAACGGCTCTAAAATATTACTAGCTTTTAATCAATTTTCATAACATTTACCTCTACGTAAACAGTGCTGTTCTGTTCTGTGCATTTTATTGTTGTTTTAACAACTTCTAGTTTACCGTCATGCCACTTGTCAGTAAGTTACATCAGCTGTTTTCTCGCCTTCAAAAAGGTCTTCGGCCGTTATTACCGGTGATCATCTTAGCCATTTATACACTTATTGGTGCACAAATATTTCTATGGTGTGAGCAGAAGCATGAAGATCGTCACCTGCGGCAACAACGGCAACATCGTCTTGAATTAGTTGAGGCAAATGAAAAACGTATATATCTGTGAAAAAACTTATGCAAAAAAAAAAAAAAAAGAGAAATTAACTATTTTGTTCAATAATTAAATAAATTTTTGTTTTCATCAAAAAAGAGAAAAAAATTTGTTGGCATTTTGTTTGAGCTTCGTTTGCAAAGCACGTAAAAGCAAAAGGAAGAAAAAGACTAAAATAAAAACTTCTAAAAACTTTACCAAACTTGTTGCTTGAAATCAGAAAAAGTAAAATTTTAAATTTTGCAGATATATGCTTATGAGCTACATAAATTGACCCATTTACCGGCTCGACAAAAGCATGATCAAACTGTAACGGTGCTGAAGAAATTTTTGCAAGACTTTGATATAAATGCAGATGAAGTGCCGCAAAGACAGTGGACATTTCTGAATTCCGTGTTCTACGTTGTCACTGTCTATACAACTATAGGTAATCTAGACAAAATCTTCCTTCCAATTTCTATTTCTTAATCTCCATCCAACTGATTTAATGTGAACACTCAACGCTGCTATCAAGTCTAAAATTAATAACTTTACTTACAGTTCAATAGTTTCTTTTATATACATTACAGGTTATGGTAATATTTATCCAACCACGTCAACTGGGCAAGTGCTAACAATTATCTACGCATTTATTGGTATACCACTTGCCTTGATAACCATTATCCTGCTTGGTAGTCTGTTTGCTAAAGGCTGCAAAATCCTCTGGAGAATTCTTGTACATTCACTTGCACTTTCCACTAGTATTGTTTCTAAAGATATTGAAAAACAGGTATGTTGCAAAAAATTTCAACAAATCCTACGCTCCAATTAAACTTCTTCAAAGTAAAATTCATCTAGTCAGCGTATCAAATATAATAAAACCAACAACAACTACTTACACTTAACTACCGGATAATTTATAGTCTTCTTATCAAATTCCTACCATATATAAAAATTCAAAAAAAGCAACTACTCTCGCTCTTTCCTTAGCAGTACAAACCATTATTCTTTTTCTTGCAGGTCATAAAACTGGATATCTTGAATGATCACGAAAAAGAAGCTGAAAATGAGGATCTCTTAAGCTTTCCAGTAACTTTCTTAATGGCAATTACCGTTGTTTGGGTGTTCCTCTCCGCTTGCATATTCACAAGATTTGAGGAAGACTGGACTTACGGTTAGAAACAGTTTTTAAAATATTTAAATGTCTAAAAACTATGCTAAAAATCTTTTACAAACCATATTTTTTGAGGAATGAAATAGAGTACTTGTAAAAAACCTTTGAGTGAAGATACGTTCTGCCTCCACTCATCTGCCGATAAAAATATTGATTAATTTAACCAAGATACTCACATAAGCAATTAAAGTGAATTTTAAAAGACAAACTTTTAAACTCATCAAAAGTTACTTTACAGGAAAATCCCTGTATTTTACGCTTATATCCTTTACCACGATTGGTTTTGGCGATGTTTTGCCGTCAGATAATGACCATATGATCGTTGTCATTTTCTGTTTTATGGTTGGCCTATCACTCGTTTCTACAATACTTAGCATCATTCAGCAACAAATCGAAGCACTGGGATCGGTAATTACTGTACTTTTCTTATAATTCTGCTAACTTCGAAATTCAGCATCATGATAACGTTTAATTGGAATGACCGTCTGCAATTCAGAAAATGGAGACCGATATTGATAAACGATATAAAGATGCGATAACATCAGCATACAGTGAACAACTTTTTGCTGAAGATAGAATAAGAAGCATTAAGGAGCGAAAGAAGTCTAAAATTCCAGGTTATTATCACAGTCTGTTCTTCTATTTATAAATGAAGCTCACTCTCTAGCTGTTCTATAAATTAAAACAGCATATTTGAAGCCATATAATTTTATAAAGTTTTTTAGGTATTGCACTGCTTAAAGACAAAATGAAACTAGACAGTTTGGTGTCCCAAATGTCACTAAAAGATCGTCTGCTCTTCCAAGCTATGAACAACGCTGATAAGGAAAAAATTAAGAAGAAAGCAGAGAAAAAAATGAATTTCCGAATCTGTGGCACACAAACTGAATGTGATCTAACGCAAAGTTCTACCGAAACTGAAGAAGTTTTCTTGGAACCATTGGTAGGCCACTATTTTGTAAATATTCTAAGTTTGCAGCAAAGTTGACAAAAGTTTTCGACTGTAAAGTCTATTAAGCATTAGTTAAGACATAAGAGTTTGATGTGAATATTTACTGAAAATCATGAAAGTCTACGATAAAAGAGAATCTCATGAAACCTCATAGCAGCGAACAGCTCGAAATCGCCAGATAATAAATTCATTAAGCCACCAAAATCAAAATTTAGTTCTCTGCATACAATATTTTATTTGGTCATTAACACTTCTGTCACAAAACTTTTGCAATAAAGTAAACCACTAGCAAAAGAACGATTATTTTTTGCTATTTTGAGCAAAAATTACAATTTACAAAAAAACCAACTTCAAACGAACCAATTACTTAATGCACTAATCGCTTGAATAATAGAATGTAAGCTAATTGTAAAATGTTCATTTCTCCAATGTTCTATCCAGAACAGAGAGACAACTTGAAAGCCTACAAGGTCCATTAAAGTCCCACCTCTAATTTTTACTTGTGGTTAACAGCGGAAATAATGTAAAAACTTTTCAACATTTTTAGGAAGCGACTAAGCGGCGGGGATCGCAGTGAAGCACCGCAAAGTCAAGGAAAACTGCAAGTATATGTTGATAAAATCTCTTTTCAGAATACTGCTGTCTGTAAAATGTTTGTAAAAATGTCTGAGGTTTAATAAAGCTCATGTACCGGCCCTATTCATCAAAGAAAGAGAAATATAAAAATGAGTATTGAAGTGTCAAAGATACCAGCTTCCTCATCTTATCATCTGCAATAAACTAGCGGTTTGAAACAACAGCCCTTATGACTGAAAATAAACCGAAAACTAAGCACGTCCCAAATAGCTGCGCTCACGAAGAAGTTACAAGTAAGGTGTGGAAATAACTTAGTCTAAAAATCGTCTGTAAGCTGCATATCTATTCAAGTCAAAATTATTCCTTAGCACTGCATGCAGAAAATTTACCTTTACACTTTTTCTCCTCTTCGCTGTCAAAAAGCATGTTTATCCTCACGTTCCTTTACTGGCCAACTTCAGCACGGTACCGGCCCTGAATAACTGATTACCTTCCAAAAATAAGGTACTGAAACTCAATGTTCTAGAGGAAAATGAGGATCTATTTTAACATTTAAACTGAATGAATTTAAGCGTCTGTTTATACCCTAAACGTTAAATCTTTACTAAAGTCCGCATCTTATACCAGTATTAATAAACCCTTCGCTTACGGCAGTTGCCTGGCCTCAAACAGAACTCAAAATGTATCTCAGTGACGGATTAATGTGGGCTTTCGTATCGCACATGAAAAAATGTTCCGAATACATTTCAAGCATTGTAACAAGTAACAGTTTGGTCACTGAAGTGGTACAGAAACTGCACAGCTGCGAGTTACCAAAAATACATGATGTGCGCTTTTGAGACACTTTAAAAACTATTTCACTCCACCTTGAGACTTCCATGACCCCACAAACAATGAAGCTCGCGGTGCCTATATTACATGCGTACCTTCAAAATCTTGAAAACCCGATCTAGTCTGAAAAGCAGCAGTAATTCCAAAATAAGCTGCAGAATACAACACTCAAAGCAAATTTTTTAAGTTAAAAATTGCATTTTTTCCGAAGAAATACTTAGGATTTCAATCTTTTTCTGAGTCTTCATGAGTTTTTCTGATAAAAGCGACAGTGGATGCAACTTCGGGAAACCTTATTAGAAAATTAAGCGACGTAAAAATTTGCTGCAAGTAAGCAGAATCAGTTTTTCAAAGTAGGTTAAATTGAGAAAGCAAAAAACTCAAAAAAACTGCAGTTTCTTTGCACTTTATCACAGTTTGATTCAGCTATCAATGCAGTTTCTAAAGTGAAATTGTTTGGCCTCTAAGACTTAGCCCTGAATCTTACAGGGAAAAGTTTGATAAAAGGCCGCTGAACCACACAGCAGAAGATAATTCTACACAAAATCAGCCATACAAAAAGCCGCTCCTAACTTTCTGTCTTTTAGAGATCAATCACATTTCCTCTCCAATACCCACACACCAAGAATCAGGAAAACAAAAGTTCCGCTTGTCCTTGTTATCTACAGAAATCTCTCCGGAAAACCGACGAAAGTCCTGTAAAAAAACAGGAGCTAACTTTTTAGGTATTTTAACGGAAACTGATTTCTAAGAAAACGTCGTTAAAATACTAAACTGCAGCAAAAGATTGTCCGATTGAATTACAGTTGTTTCAATCCGGTCTTACGTTCCGCACTAGATTTACTGTAGTTACTATTCTTGTTAAATAACTCCACTCAAACCTCCAAGATTTTTCAGTCCAAAACTATTTCGCTCCCACTTGTTCTACCACGGCTGCATCTGACGGAAATACCCATCAGAACCGCTCTTTAAAATCTTTTAGTTTTTATAACTACGTATTTCTCCCATCACAGCAGCTTCTGAGTTAAAGTTATAGTACTCACGTGAAGTCTAACAGCACGTTCGAAACTGCAAAGACGACGTACTTGTTGCAAAAACCAGCTTCTCACTGACAAAAACTAACTCTTCTATCTTCTCCTAAAGCTTTCGTAAAGAACCTCTTTGATGAGGAATTGTATTGAACAATTTATAGTTAACTGTTTGTAAATTTCCCTTTTATTAACAATTCATTTTTGCAAACTATTCTGTAATGCATCCTCTGGTCAGCGCCTAAAATAAGAAAACGCGATAAACCAAAGCAACCAGTGATTCCAAAAGAAACCTGGCTGCCTATTTATTGTTTCATTTTTTTAGATTCACCGCGAAACCAATCGAGAGCCATTGGGACGGTGGCAGTGCCAGCAGGACCTTGCAAAACAAACTTCAGCTGTAAATGAATGGAAAAGTCTGAAGGTGCAAAGACTACCTCTTCATCTACGGAGTCGTACCGCAGCTGGCTACGGTAAACCTTATGAGTAAGGAAGGTGCCTTATAACATTGAACAAGTAGGAACTAAGTAAGGAACCTACTGTTCGGCCTTCAGCTGCGACCGTAGAATGACGAGAGGAAAGTGGGCAAAAAAAAAAAAAAGTTAATTCGTTTGCATTGGGGAAGTTAAAAGTTGCTATTCAGCCATAGTTAGCTATTGACAAAACCTTGCAGACTTTGAGTAGTTCAAAAATCCAAGACTATAATTTAATTGCCTCTGTCGTGAAGATTAATAGGTCAGAGGACTTGTTAAGACTTAAATAAGCCGAGGGACTGGATCATATCTACCAACTCAACACGTCAACAAGGCAACAGTAATTTAAAGGAACTGAAAAATCCATCGCAAAATAGTTTTTTACTTGTTAAGCATTACAAAACATCCACTAGCACTGATTGTAATATACCTCATTCCAAATACTAAAAAATAGCTCCGTTGTTACCATCTGTTCTATTTACAGCGCAACTGTGTATCATTCGTTATTGCCTAAACTAGACACAGTGAAATATAGATCAGTAAAGACATCTTTGCAATTGTCATTTTTGTTCAATTCAGTGTTCAGACAGTTTGCATCATTAATTAGACCCGTTGGTGACGTTAGAAAGGCACTAGCTGTTCATTATTTTTCATTCCATCCTAATGTTAATTTTTTTAACGTAAAGCACAAACTGCTGTTACCATCTGAAGAACTGACGCAGTAAAAACCAAAATTGCAAAACTGAATTCAATTAGTTTTTTATTTTTTCGCCCAATTCCAGCTGATAATACAAATCGCTGAAGAAAGAATAACACCTGAGCTCGTTTACTGCATTTCAGTGACAAACGGTTGTAACCAACTGCTTGAAATGAATGACCAGCACTGAATTAATTCGGTTAACTTCTGGGGTAAAGTTTTGCTCCTTCTTAAAACTATTCGGAACGCCCGAAGTTCCACCAAAAACCTTTTGGCTTTTAGAAATTTTTTGTAACAAATTTGGCGCAACGCGCATTGGTGCGATAAACTGTTGCACGAGATGACGATGGGCCAGGCAAGCGATACATAGCTGCAATTACCTCGTCATCAGTCAGTTTGATTTTTGAACACTTCAACCCGATGGCTTTCCTTATATTGTTGATCGGGCAGCCAGCACACATATATACACACAGTGGCGATGATGTGTACAATTTTTGTCCTGTTTGTTCTTTTTTTTTTCTCTGTTAATCACTACAAGTGTGGTCCAGTTTGGTCGAAAATTTTTGCTACGGAATTTTATTTTGAAATAGCTTTTTGTTAACATTTCGTACTTTCAGCTTCAGTTGGTACGTTCGTTCTTTCATTTCAATTGCAAGATGCCAATTGCGCAACAATCAAAATTTGCATGCCTGAAAATTTATGATGATACGTCGTCGAGCGAAGATGAGGGAAAAAGAATTATGAATATTGGGCAGGTTTGTTGAAGATACAGGTTTTACCCGAATCAAAGTTCTTCAATTTATATGAACTCTTTTAATTATTGAAACAGTTAACCTCATGTACAACGGTAGTACATCTGTTAATTATAATATAGGACTTATTGTAGTTGAGTTGTTGTGTTGTTGTAGTTGAAAATGTTCAGAAACCACATAAGCCATTTATTCTGGTGGCCACTTTTGTAGGAGAACATTGTTTCAGGAAAAGAAGGGTTCTCAGAAAAGTGCGGGTAAAAAGGCAGCAAAAAAAGGGGAAAATAATGGTCCTTTGCTGGTCCACGTTTTACCCCAAAAACCAAAAAATCGGGGGAAGAAACACAAGAAGGTAAGAATACTACAAGAAATTTTGATTTATGTAATTTCGAATGCCGATATTCGTACTGAGGCCAAATCTTTAGCAGCAGTGGACTTTCTTTTAAGTTTTGGTGAAATAAGCTTTTTTTTACAACGTTTATTTCAAACGAGGATAGTAGTATTGATTATTATCATATCCAGATGCCACAAGTTGTTGATGAGACGGGTATAGTAATTCAAGATCCAGACCTTGACCCTGCTGAAATGAAGTACCGGGAAGTAAGCCAAAAGTTCATTCTCACTTTTTTTTTTGTCAGTCGTTTAGTGTCTAATTTGCACTGTGTCCTGCTCCCTTCTAAATCAGTAGTCATTGTTTCCGTTTAGGAACTGCGAAAAGCGCTGAAAGAAAGTTGTGAAACTTCGTCTGTAAAAGCACAAAGAAGTACAGAAGTATGCCTTGTTTTTATATGAAAGCAATTACTTGCTGTATTTTATTTATTGCGAGAGTAAGTTTGAAATTGTCTGTTGAACTGTAGCAATGGAGTCAGAATTTTGAACTCTTCGTTTTCATGATGATATCTTTAAGTTTCTGCCCTGAAAAGTTTTGAAGCCGGTTAACGAATTTTGTTCTACGCATTTTTTTAAAATTTGCCATCTAGTTTTTTTAAACAGTTTTTTAAGCCTTCATCCATCTATTGTTAGACTGTCACTGCACGTCCAAAGGTTGAGAAAGTTGAAAAGGTTGAAGAGCAACAAGAAACGAAGAGGAGCCCTGCGGAATGTGCAGTTATGGAAATTGATAAGGAAGCAAAGAAGCTGTTAGCTGGAACATCTAAAGTTAATATTTTTCATAGCTCACCACACAGTCAGCACCCTTTGTGCTTTTAGTATGTATTGATCTTTTAAGAATCCTGAGTCCGTAGTACGGTTGTATCGGAGTAAGCTACTCGCAGTTCTGGAAGAAAACTCTCGGCTTAATGAAGAATTGTCAAAGGCTCAAGCCAATGTTATGAAATATCGGAGTCGCTACACTAAGCTTTGCGAAATACTGAAAGACGTTGAAAGTAAGTGTAATCTGTTGTTGCCATTGTTGTAAGCCGGTAGTTTATAATTTTAAAAATGTACTAGGCAGCGTTTCACTTAAAAGCTCCACTTTGTATTAATATGGTAGGATTGGTGCAGTATATGCCTTGGCGAAATTTAATAGCAGTCTTCTTACTTTTGAAATCAGTTTTTGCTGGATTAAAAACACTTGTTTACTGTTATCAATTTAGTAAACGAAAAAGCACAGCTTGTTGCTCAGCTGGAGAAGGCGCGGCAAGTTGAGACTGAAATGGGCAATCAGATAGGGACTTTACGAGGTGAACTGATGCAAGCAACCTCGAAAAACAGAGAATTTGAAGCAAAAATAAAGGAACTTACAAAACGGTAGCAGGTGAGCACTGTAATTTTTGATAAAGTGGGTTCAAACTGTGCACTGATGCTTTAATTCGCATACTTCTTTTTCTAAAACATCTTTGGGGAAGACCGTTTTTGAGGTTTATCAGTTCTGTACAGTTCAGGGTCGGCAGATGGCGCTGTCAACGAGTGTCTTGGAGTAGGTACTTTTTATTCACTCTAACG